AGCACTTGCGAAGACATGTTGAAAACCTGAAATCGCGGAGCTTCAGTATTGATCGTAGGTTCTATATTTTCTCTCGATTCGGTTCTGAATTTTACGTTTGTGCTCACATCAAGAAGAATTCGTAACGGAGGTGCGTCGGCTTCGTCTATAATCCCGGTCGATGTTCCTATTGACCCCGCTGATTCAGTTTGCTGGGGAATTAGCCGCCCTTTCTTATTACACAAGGCACAATGAGGATTCTTGTAGCTTCTTTCACCATCAATTGTGAAGACCATAGCGTATAATTCACACAATTCTCGAACAATAGGCAAGATACTTAACTTATTCAAAGCACAGCCTGCATCCCTTACTACTCAACGTCTGTAATGATCTCTAAGGTTGTGAGTTGGTTCGTATTTCCAGGAGCAATTTTTGCGCTAGTTCAAAAATGTCGACACAGCAGTGACGTTCGAAGCGGGTGGACGTCCTCTGATACTTTTGCAGAAAATATTTACACGCCAAAAACTGGCGCTTTCTTCATTATGACATTTGGCGCAAGCAATGCTTCTGTGTGTTACATTTTGTTTCATGGCAAAGACAGGGAGTTCTTTTTGTAAAGTCATATCTAACTGCTGGACAGTCAGGGTGTGGCAGTCGTTGGTGCTCTTGCTGTTATACGTAGCGCAAATAGATCTCATGATTACCCCGGACCATAAAAAGCTGTTGACATCTCCACATTCCACATCCTGAAGTAGCACATCACTGCTATTTTGACTACACCTGGGGAAAATACATTAAGAGGTGTAAAAGGCCTGTTAAGAGATTGGGAACCGAATTTTACGAATTCCCACCTTTTTCTTATCACTGCGCAACGGTGGATACCAGTAGCCCATGATAGAAATTTTTACTTTTCTCAGCAAATCCAGTTAATAAGGGAACCTTCAGCTTAGAATCACCTCGAGTAAACTGAAATCCAGGCAACAATCAGCAAAGGTCTTGCATGCTTTGTCGCAGTAGCAGGTCATTTCCCTTTTTCTTTCTTGAGAGAAACATCTGCCCGTACATTACTGGTCAGTCGAAGTCTTCTGTTTATTCACCTCGGCAAGAAACGACCTTTCCGGGAGAGAGACTCTCTGCTGATGGAAAAATATCTCTCAGACTAAGACTCTGTGCCTAGTGCCTCACGATGAAGTCTTCATCTGAACCTAAATCTGAAAGAAAAAAATTATCATGCATTTGGCGGCGTTCGCTTTTACTCTAAATATTACTTGTTTTTAAAGACAGCACTCATGCAATCTTTCTCTTTTTATGCAATTCGATCCCCTCAGAACATTCATGTCTTCTGGCACAGTGATTTTATTTATTTTTTCCACAAAATGGCTTGAAAATACTTTTAGAGCTGATAATTTCACCCTTGAACCAGAAAGTCGCCTTCGGAAAGATCTAAACCAGAAAGAGACAGTGAACATTTTATAGGGGGGTGTAAGTGTGTNCATAATTTCTCATTTATTGTTTCGATAATAACTTCATAAAATTCCTAATCATCCAAATAATCATCATAGCAACACTACAAAAGAGAAACTCTTTTTATTCAGCTTTATTTATCGTTGACTCTGTCATCGGTCGACCCCAATATTATAAATTTGCAAGATGTGCGACAAAATTACATTTCGAAGTTTCAGAGCGAGCTTACTCTTTAGTGAATGCAATTTGAGAGAGTTCGGCTGCGTCTCGTTTGCTGAATTAATCTTCCCAGTTTCGAAAAAATATTACACATACAGCAAAATGCACAACCAACTCTTGATAAAGATGTCGGGAGTTTACTTGACCGATGCATTAATGACTGAAATACAATATATTATTGTCAGGGTAGCGACGAACTATACACGGCTAAATATATTAGCCATTGACGAAAAACAAGTTGTCTTACCGTGAATAGAAGTCCAAGCAGCAATCACCGAGTTCTCTGCAAACCTTATCACAGAAACACTTGTTGGCCTCTCCTCTTTCTACCTATAAGCATCTGCCTCCGCACGATTGTTCTGAAGCATTTTTTTGCCTAAGCGCTTCAGCAAGATATCTGTCCTCCTGTCGTAGAGTAACGTTATGGTGACGCAATAGCTTTGTCAGGTTTTTCAGGCTGATAGTTTCACCTTTAAAATTCACCACGAAATCTTGGTGATCCGATCCTAAATTAGGAGAAAAGTTATCAGTAAACAAAGTTTACATCAACACATTTTTGAATGAGAAAATGTTTCAACAAAATTAAAAATTAGAGTCAATTCTTACATTACAGTGACTAAATAAATTGAGAAATTAAACCTTACAGGGTTAGCTATCATTTAGGAATTTGCACAGAGCGAAGACTTGAAATCAAAACGAAAGGCTTTCAAGGCGCCTAAGCCCGCGCCTTTAAGATATCCGTAAACCGTCATTCTGTTACGTACCACTTAACTCCAAAAATTCTTGATGAGGGTCGCTACCAAGAGATGGAAATGCTATCTCAGGGTTAACAAGGGGAACGTTCATTTCCACGAAAATCGAAATACACATTGACACGACTTGATTTGAAATTTGGTGAAACCACATTTTAAGACCTCCCAATATTTCTGCCTCTCTTGTCATCTTGTCGCGTTATGCAAGGTGTGTAGCGTTTGACATGCTTTTGGCATCAAATAACATTTTCTTTAATTAAGGTTTGACGTATATTTGCTATTTGCTTTAGCTGCTGCTCACTACTTCTTTCAATTCAGTTGTGAAAAAAATACTTGTACACGACGTCAACTCAAGTCTTAGACACTTAAGCCTTCTCGTTCAGACTTGACCGTCTTCATTTCCTGGCATTACAATGGAAAAAGTGGCGGCATTCGCACGAATTCAAAACGCTTCGTCCACCAACATGCCTGTGAATCTTTCTTCCGAAGCTGATCTAGTACAAGAGTCTGGTTGTTTCCACGGGGATGCATTCGCGATTAAAATTGTTCGTATTCTTCCATATTTCTTCATAATCACAATCTCCTTGATCGGAAACTCATTGGTGGTCGCAGTTGTTTTCAAGAATCAACGTATGTGGACAACGGTGAATTTTTACATTGTCAACATGGCCGTCGCAGATCTCCTAATTACAATCTACATGCCCCGAACGTTCACAGTAGCTTTTGTGGGATACGAATGGCTCGTGGGTGGAACAGCCGGCCAGGTCTTCTGTAAAATGTCCATCCTTCTCAACCAGATTCCGATGATAGTTTCCACCTTTACGGTGGTTGCCATAAGTTTCGATCGTTTCAATGCTGTGGTCTTCCCTTTGAAAACTTTAGTTTCCACGCGAATCTGTAAAGTGATCATCCTATGTACATGGTTGGTGGCATTAGCATTCCGTATCCCAACCATTTACGCGGTGGAAATCATGACAAGAGAGTCAGACGGCAAACTTTTCTGTTATCTTAGACTAGACGAGAAATTCGGTTTCGGGGTTAAGAGAATTTACTATCACTTTAACATGATAGCCATATTTTCCGTTCCTCTTTTAATGATCGTTATCTTCTACACCACCATTATTGTGACACTAAAACGAAGAAAAACACCTGGGCTCACGCCAGAAAATTCCTCCAACAACAGTGAAGGATTCCGACGCAGAGAAGTGGTTAAAAAGAAGGTTCTTCGCCTTGTGTCTATTGTAGTTACCGCTTTTGTACTCTGCTGGTCCCTGTACTACGTCAGACTGAGTATGTTTGCTTATGGTCGTGACCTCTCATGTGACTGGCTGTACGTTCGCCTTCTTTTAGCTCACATGAACAGCGCGCTAAATCCATGTTTGTACGCTATATTTAGTGAGAATTACCGCAGAGGGTTTAAAAAGATCCTAGCTCGAGCTAACTTCTGTAAAAGACGTTTTCAAAGAGCAGATTCGCTCAGATCCGTGAGGTGGCATAGGGCTTGGGACAGTAATGGAAGTATTAGCATAAGAATCGAGCCGGAAACTCAAAAACCATCTTCTTTGTAACTGTTTATTCCAGTGATGAAATGTTTTCCCTTCCTAAGAGTAAAATGGGAACGTTTACAGGGAACATTTTCTGGTTAACAGGCCTTTTTAATTGCCACAGAGGGCTTTTTATATTGTTGATAGAATCATGCTCTTAATGGTTTTCCTTTACTTTTTAAAAGCTACAGATGGTTTTAATATTGTTAGTAGGGTCATGCTCTTAATGTTTTTCCTCCACTTTATTAGTTGTCGAAATAAAGGGCATAAACGACCTAAGCTATAACCCCACATTACTCAACCTTTCACATCGGCGAAAGACGACCGTGTGAAGTTTACAGGAAAACAAATATAGTCGTGTGAATATGTGAATAAAACGTTTAATTCATTCCCTCGCGGCGTTTAATTTTTTTCACATGGCACGTTGTGTTGTTAAAAAGACAAAATACGTTCAACTAGAGCGGAAAAATCTGTAAGAATTTCCTAGTTAAAAATTCAATCCCGTTGAAGTCAGCGTATATGCATAGGCAAAAAAGTCCCATAGGTACAATAATAAAGCGAGATTTTCAAATAACTGGGTTGTGTTAGGGGACTGTCAGTTTGGCAATTCTAGTGTCACCTTTGCTGTGAAATGTTTTCCATCAAGCCAAGTCAATGTAATAGCAAGTTAATTCAAGTCTAGAATAAAATCTGTTTCTTTCTCCGTCCTTTGTTAAACAAATAGTGAAAAGACGAGAAAATTGAATTCGTCCATACGTACTTAAGTAAAGCAACTGTCACAGTTTGATTGACTTTCAATCATGGAAGTGACA